GCAGGCGTATGCGAAACTAGCCCTCTGTGTATCCATACTCAGCTGAGATTTCGTCAGAGATCAACCCGTTGGCACTGGCTGTGATGGTACTTCCCAAATAAGTGAAGTGTGTTGTGAAGTGAAGTGTAGTGTGACACTTGATTCATTCTCTGCTTGTATTATGCATCTCACTGCGTTCCAGTTTGTGCGTGTTATGCCTAATTGATTTTTAATACACGAAACAGTTGAGACTGAAGCTGAGATTTGCATGTGACGGCGTTTACTCTTAATGTCGGATAGTTGTAATTTTATTTTCGGTTAAGGCATTTAAATTAGCGTCTGGAAACTGATTTATTTCAGATAACACGACAAGACAAGTTCTTATATATATATATATATATATATATATATATATATATATATATATATATATATATATATATATATATATATAACGTCAGTAAGCCTTTCATCACTTAAGATTGCCAACCAAATGTGAGTACAGATGTGCACGCGTTAAATAAATTTAACACGGTACAAGAATAGAAATCTACTTAGCCCCTGTAAAATGTAAGATGCTGCTACAGGACTGGACTACGTCAACTCCTAGCTCAGTGATAGGGAGTGAAGTGATAGAACATGTTGACCACTTCACACCTATTTGGGAAGTTTTATCAGCACCAACGGATTGATTGGTAACGAAATCTCAGCACGGATCCAAAAACCTCTGGCTGCTTTCGCTAACTTACACCATCTCTGGCGTAGGCGTGACATCCGACGTATGTACTGCTCAGCAGTTCGCTCCGCCCTTCTCTATGCCTCTGAAACATGACCAATCACTACGAGTTGAAGACATGAAAAGGTTGACTGTTTTTGATCATAGATGTCTACGATCTCTTTATCACGTTAGGTGGCATAATAAGGCAGGTAATGTCGACGTTAGGTTAGGCGTAGAGTGTTGGGCAAAGAGGGAAAAATCAATCGACGAGGCTATAAAGTTACATAGATTGAGATGCCTCGGTGACGTGCTGCGCATGCCTAACCATCGCCTCCCTCTCCCGACAGCCATTACTAGCTGATTGACATAGGTGCAGGTTGGAAAAGAGTAAGTGGTGCCATGCCAAACAAAAACATGGCCTCATCAATCCATGAAATCCTTGACAGTTAAACTGAGTCAGGTAGGGAGGGAGATGCAGACTTCCTGTTGGTTGGGGCCCGCCCTCGGGACTCTAAGAATCAATGGCTGGAGACAGACAATAGGTGACATGGCTCAAAATCGTTGTCAATGGCTTACGCAGATGTATTCAGTCTCTTGTGTAATCTTTCATATTCCTTTCTACCATTACTCATTCGTTCTGTTTCACTCTTATACTTGTCAAAACTCTATTGATTCTCTTCACTCATCCATCTTCTTGTCTACCTTTGTGTGCTATTTGGAAGGTGGCAACTCGAACTGCTGCACTTCGGTGGCAAGTTCTATGTTGAATCCAGACAGACAGTGTAAATAGAGATAATACTTGTTATATCACTTACATATAATGATCGAAACACGACCAGTAAGCGCCATAGGAACAGTGTTAAGAACTGCATTAGATTTCAAACGGAATTGATCACTTTATATAGAGTATGTAAATGGAACAAAAATCTATTACGAGGCATATATCGCACAAATATGCGGGGACACACTTAGTATAGATACGAATTTAGTGTTATTTACATGAATACTATTTCAGACGCATATGCGCACATGCGTAAGATAAGACTAATTAATAAAAGCTGGGCGGGTACTATGTAACTTCTTACGTGTTACACACTACGAAATATATATAAGACTTCTAAAAAGACATTCAGACATCTAGAATGAACGGTTGATGTACTTGTGAAAAAATGTTTATTCCGATTTATCTGATAAAAGGAAAGCATATATATATATATATATTATACTTCACACGAAACACGTCTGGATGTATACACATATATATCGCCTTATTTGCTCAACATGCTAAGATTAAGAAGAGAAGGCATTTTGTGGAATAGAAGTAGAATAACGAAATTTTGAATTTCAGGCTTCAAGAGGAAATGAAACAAAGATTTCAGACAACTATTCATCATCTGGGTCAATGCTGACCCCTAATCTGGTTTTCTTCTAGGGGTAATAACACCAGAGTTTATCATTGATTTCATGCCAGGCTACTTGCATCTTACCTCCAACCATATTAAAGGGTAGGGGCGGTGATGGTATATACACACACATAACGCATGTTTTAGTCGCCTTAAAAAAATGTTTGCACTTAAGTCAAAACTAACTTGTTTACTACCCCCCCCCCCAACACACCACCACTATTACCTTATGCATAGGTGAGGTCATAGCGCTAACACGGCGACTTCATCCAAATCAAGGAACACTAACAGAGGAAACAGCAAAAGAAAATAACTGAAGCCATTATAAAGAGAGTTCAATTAAAGCAGCTATTCCCAGTAACTAATTATCAGGACAAAGCATTTTTGGATGTGTTGCTTTGTTCAGTTACGGTTAATGCTTGGGTGGGTGGCAGGTGGGGGGGGCTAAAAGGAGTCAAATTTTCTGTACCTATGAAGAGATTTCTTGAGTCACTAATTTACTACGGTTAATGGGACCCGTCCTCCGTTAGATGAAATAGTCAGTCAGTCAGTCAGTCTTCCTAACCGTTTCCCCCACTATCAAAAATTGGGACAAACATAGCAAGAAACCTACTATTAGTCTGTTTTTATCAAGTTTACGAATAAGTCCGATCGCTCACCACTCGTTTTTTTTCAATATCACAAAAAACTAACCGCAACTTGAGTGACATACATACGAGAGCAACAAAATACAACAAAGAACCAGTTGAGTGCGAAAATGGAACAATTCACATCGACAGAGCTCAATAATTCTTAAAATAAAGAAATGAGTTTATTAATGAGTATTATGTGTGCAAAAGCTGAAAACTGAGTCACATGGATTCCCGATGATTAATTTTGCACTGTAGTAGTAAAAGTAGGTGACGCGTCCTACTATTTGACTGAGGTTGAACACAATGTGTAAAGACTAATTAACTGAAACCCCTCTCCCCCACCCTGCTGCATGTGAACTGGTACCTACGGGTATCATGTGACTAGGCGCAATAGGTTGTTTAATGATTCAACAGTATGTCGGACTTCTAAGTTTTCAACAAAGTTCATGGCATAGAGGTGGTCAAACTCCTGATGCGTGACAAAGGTAAAGGAAAAATTTCAGAGGAATTATGATGAACGGAAAAGTATGGCAGAAAAATAATTACAGGGAGAATAATGGTTCTGGGAGAAGGCGAGCAGTGAATGCCTCTGTACCTTTGTTAAACGATTTTGAACTATATTATTATACAACACAGTCTCAAGCCACTGGTTCCTAGAATCCCAGAAACCTCAGCAAGGCAGTGCAGATATTAATACACGGAATAACAGAAAAAATGTCACATCTGCTTGGACTGACATTAGGCTTCAATTTGACTCTCCTAGGTTCTCTCCTATTCTGTCCCCCACGTCAGCTGATTTTGCCTGCAAGGAATGTAATGCAGATATTTGAAGTGTGTCTGAGACAGGTTTGCATGTGTGAAGCAATGCCAACTCTCACTCTATATTCATTTTAAAAAAACATTGCTCCGCTTAGCATTGTTAATATTCATGCTCCTGTGAGTAGGCGAAAAATGTTTACACAGTTGGATAGCGCATCAATAAGCGTAAGCTTCTTGTTTGGAACTTTTAGACTGCATCGAGGAATCTAGGTCAACTGAAGAAACTACTAGTTCAACACAGTGCTGTATTATAATTCAGTGACCAAAAGGATTGAAAATTTTGAACAAAATATGTCACATTATGCTCAATATGAAGGTGACTTATGGTCGCAATTCATAGATTTGAATTTTTCTAGGAAAAAGGTAAGTGAAAATGCAGATAGTCTACTTAAGTGTACAGTTTTTCACTTAATGGCCGCCAGGAGAAAACTAATTAAACAAGAAATTCTTTATTTCTCAAACTGATATCAATCCGTGATCAACTCGTAAAAAAGCAAAACTAACCCTTACAAACCAAACTATAGAAAATAAATCTGATGCTCGCTAGTGACTTGCTACAGGATGGAGTGTCTTGGAGTGAGTTCTAGTGAGGTCCATCCAGATGTCACGTGTGAGGATGGATGTCCCACTGATAACGTTGGTTGGGGTCGCGCTAAATACATGAAGAATTGGTAGAAGTTGGAATTCATGCACTGGCTGGCTATTGAGGAATCGGGTCCCAGTGTGTGGCTGAATGGTATACGAGCCAGCTAGCTGGCCTTGTAACCGGAAGTTCTTGGGTTCGAACCGCCTGTGGTGGGTGCGTACTGCCGATGATTCTTAAACTAGGATGAATCAGCTGTCCAGTACTCCCTGGTTTTCAATGGTTCTCTAGCTGATATCAATCCATGATCAACTCGTAAAAACATAACTAACCCTTACAAACCAAACAATAGGAAATTATAGCAATGAAAGTGCATAAAACAATCACAAGGAAATAAATTCAGTCACTCATATGTGTTAATTCTTAAAATTTAAAAATGCAAAGGTTCGTATGTCACGACAGAGTTAGTGTCGGTACGCAATTGGCCAGAATAGATTTTTCATTTACGAGACTGAGCTCTACCCAGTCATTCGAGTGAAGTAGGTATCACAAATGAGTGGGTGCTCAAATCTAAACTTCGTAGTTTTAGCAACAGCTTATTAACAAGTTGTACGTTAGGAATATTGTCTCTAACGTTCTTTCTGCTTCCTAAGCGTCATCTGGGACTGACAAAACACATGTTAAGATTACCTCCCTGAGGCAAATATAGACGTCCGGTTTATAAATGTAAATAAATGATTACTTCACAATTCTCAGTGCCTATAGTATAATCCACACCATCCACAATCATCTCATCTGTGTGCGGATAGTGTTAATCAAAATACTGCACCATAGTGATAGTTTCAAATTAACGTTAGCAAACTTACCAGAAATAGGTGAACGATAATCCACAGACTGAGGTTGTCGTATGCGAAATATAGCCAGAGCGACAACATGAGGACACCATGGTAATCCCTTATTACCACAATCGCAGCAAACGGATATTATTTTGCATCTGATACCATGAAAATGAAACAAGTCGAAGTTACCTGTCAAAAGTTATAGAAACCTTGAACTTATTTCCTCCTTGTGTCCCGACAACGCATGAGGCAGGTTGTTGGCGTACAGAACCAGTTAAATGAAAGCCTAGAAAATCGTAGAGATCTTTAAAATACTTACCTATCTGTATTACATCCTCTACACAGTTATTCTGAAAATATTCTAAGCCCTGGTAATACGGAATCTTATCTCGAGTTTTGTCATATTTTGTGTGAAAAGATGCATATGTATAAATGTCACTATCTCGTTGTGGAAAAGAATAGTAAATGATCTTTTCTTGAACAGGTTCCGGAACATGAACTAACATGCGCTCCACATATTCAAATGGCAGGAATTCAGCAACTACTTTGGCACTGAGATCGAGAAGTGAGTTAACTGAGTTAGCCTTTTCGACCTGTGAACAACCACCATCCAATCTCCGAAGTTTGGAGAATGATGGGGAAACACAGGTCGGTAACTTATGTTTCATAACTAAATGGCATACGTGGGACACTTAGACTATGACACACAACCGCCAGGGCGACTAGACTCAATTTGACGGTCGTTCTAAGCCTGCGCCTCTCAAGCTTTTGGACAGCTGCTTGTAGCATAGTGACGCGATAAAACAAACACACGAGGTTAGAGTGACTATAGTTTCAATGTTTTGATCCATCTAAATAGACTTTTAAAAGCAACATATATGTAAAGGAACTATTTTTATAGTCAAAAGTGCCTTTTCAAGTGGAATCACTGTTCAGGCTTCTGAAATGGAGAAGAAATTATTGATAATCTTTGATAATTTTTATAATATGAATCTCACTGGAGATTCAGCCATTTGTCGCAAAATTTCATACAAAAAATGGATGCCCGTGATCTTACTAAGAGAACCAGGAGCTATCTGAGAGTAAAAATTCCACCCTTGTCTTCGTCGACAGAATCTAAGAAGATTTTCATCATCTCTCAAAGGTATCGTGAATACCTACAAAAGTTCGAACAAGTCGTTATCCTCGCTAACATTCAGTATAAATAATATGTAAATAAGATTGCTCATTCACTTATACTATGACAGTGAGAAGAGGTTTAAACTTCTTAGGTTAAATTTCAGATATCTCTAACTAGGTTAGTGCCTTCCATTAGTACTATTCCGAATATATCAGTCTTTCTTAAAGCATGAAATAATAGGCTCTATACACTTTTTGCGCGAGCACTTAAAAGCCTTTTGAGACCCCCATCTAGTATTTTGAGAGCTTTTGCCATTGCTACATTACTATGTGCACACTCTTTTAACCATAAGCTGATTTCAGATCCCTAGTACTCTCCCATTAACGTATAGCAATATGATTTCCATCGGGTGTACTTTCTTTGATGTCTCCAGCTTGGATGCACAACTGCACCATTCTGAAATTGAGTTTCAAGCTCCGAGGAATGTTCTGTTGGGATGGTGGGTCCAAATCCCTTAATCCCTTAATACTATCAGTAATAGTAGAGTAGCAATATACTTTCAGATAAACAGATAAATATACACTAAAAGCATGCCATTTCGAAAAGCACGATCAAACCCAATACAATTTCGTGTAGCTCAAATGCCAACGACTTAGTACCATTTCGACAGTTAGCAGAACAGTGCCACATAGATGTTGAACTATAGGGCTTCCAACAAGATCGACGGGTTGTGATGTGAAGTCATTATGGGTAAATTTTGTTTTGATAGTCTCACAGTGCTATACAGTAAACATTACTGTATAACACTGTGAGACTTTACCAAAACAAAATTTACCCATAATGGAATTACACTCTACCACAGTGCACAAGTTTTATTCGCATTTGCCATTTGATTTCGATTATCAATGTGCTTCTACTTAAGCAGACCTCACGGCATCGGCTCCGACACGCTCACACTTCCCAGGGTCAATAGTATTAGAACCCACAACGTGCGAAATAACACCATGGCACACACTGATAACCAACGTCACAACAATGCCACCCTCAACAGTACAAGTGGCAATGGTCAGAACTCGTCCAACAACAACTCAGGGTATTCACAGTATGGTACACAAACAAGTTTTGATCGGATATATGGTACAAGTCTGCTGGGAACTAACCCACAAAGCAGTACACACGAAACCCTTACAAGGGCACAACTAGTATCTAACAATAGGTGGAATAATAAATCATGGTCTTCACAATGTCCCAATCATTTCTTATCCCCTGCGTCCCTGTCAGCGTTGAAAAAACAGCTGGTAGGGATGTTAACACTCCTAAACCGCTAGTTCTGGCTCCCCCTTTGCATGAATATAGGAACAGTCTAGTTCACCCGCATCCACTAAGCACACTTGGTACATTCACAAGTTTAGGTCAAATAAAGATCCCTACCAACGTTTCTAGCTTTACTAAAAATAAAAATGCCTTAGCCCATAGCAAATCCAGTACTCCAACGCTTAAATCTTCACCGAAAACATAACACACCAACTCGATAGACATACATGAGCATGATGTCGAAACTCCTCTTAACATAGGGTCGTCATGTCAAACGGTACTACTGGGTGCTGAACCATATTCAGGGCTGATTAATGAACTTAAATACTTCAAATGCTATTTCAAATCTCATCTTTACCTGATCCTCATAAATGCTAGATCTGTTTTAAATAAACTGCCGATGCTCAGAGCACTCACAGTGATGTACAAACCCCCTATAATTGTCATGACTGAATCTTGGTGTAATTCGAACATACTGGATGAAGAGATAAGCTTAGATAACTAATGGAGGGGGTTGTCTCAAGTACTTTCTGAATGCACTTACTGTATCACAGCTAGAAAGTAGTACACTTAACATACCTGAGACTTTATGGGTTAACTTACACTTAAATAATGCAATAGTATTAATTGGATGCACCTACAGAGCACCTGGAACCTTTAGTAATTACGAGACCCAACTTATTGATACTCTGGAACAATTATCCACCCTACACTACGATCATAAGATCCTATGTGGAGACTTTAACTTATCCACATGCCCAGTTAAATTTGGTAAGTTCTTAGGCACACTGGATATACTTGGCTGGAAACAGACTGCCACAACCCCTACAAGAGGTAATAACGTACTAGACTTAATCTTCTGCCACAATATAAGTCCACTTTCTACCCTAGTAGGTTCTGAGTTTTCAGGGAGTGACCACAAAACAGTGCTGTGTGCACTGCCACTTCCGTCAAGTAGCAATGCAACCCATACTTCACAACAAATAACTTACAGGAACTACAGTAAGGCAGAA